GCATCTGAAGTGTATGCAAATTTCTAATTCTGCTACCCACTAGATGGCGAATATATTTCCACGTTATTGGTCTACTATTACATCATCTTAAACAGTCACATGATATTATAATTTAGAGGATTTTTAAAGTATGAGTTCAGAAATAAAAATATGTCTTTAAAGTATAAATATCATTTGCCTCTGTATTAACTAAAAATCTTCTTAGTACCTGTCAGTCCCTCGTGGGAAGTCATGCACTGCAACTAGGAAAAGCACAAGTTTAGTTCCCATTTTTAAATTCTTTATCATATGAATTGGTAGTCTGATGCATTATACCGTCATAAGCTCATTTACACAGAGGAGACCAAACACGCTTCAGTGTCCTTCTGTTGCATCAGGATCACGGCTGTGAAAACCAACGCTGGTCTTATTATTGGATGTGTGCTCTGCTGTAATTTTTTACCTTAGGGCCTTTAAAGTATGAAATACAGGGCCCCAGCCTGCAGTGCCTTTTGGGTTCCTGTGTGTGTTCTTTCTACCTGCTCATTTGTTCATTTCTTTGATAAACATTAATTAAGCACCCACTGTGTTCCTAGGCCTCATCCTAAGGCTTGCTCTTCTCACTTCTCATTATTGACCTGAAAGCCTCTTTAAAGTCTCTTCTCTCCCCTCTCGAAATTCTATGCTGTGTGTGTCGAAACCACACAACCAACTTATTTAAAATGTGCAGAAAGTAAGAGCTGAGAAGCTTTTGATTGAGGGCCTGAGCTGTTAAAGGTAGAAGGATGGAGGCTTGACGGGAAGGGAAGCATTTATGGATTTTAACAAAGAGGCCCGCTGTAACGTGGTTGCTAAGGGGCTTTATTTTTACTTTCTGTTTTTATTCTATGCTGTTTGAGTATGTGTGGAGATGTGAGGAGATGGGATTACTGACTAGTGAGGATCTATGCAACTCTAGCTTGGTCCTCAGTGATGGGAAGGATTCTAAATACTTCCAGGTCAGTCCCCAAAAAAGTTGCTGGTTAAATACAGGAAGATCAACATAGCAAATTACAAAACTCATCTCTATTTTCTGATTAAGTACACTAATGACATGCTGGTGCCTTGAAACTTGGGCTCTCCTCTGAATGTGGAGTACCTTAAACACATATGAACTCCCGGTTCAAACAGCACAATAGGGCCTAAGTCTGAAAAGCGTCACAGAAAGCTCTTTAATTTCCTTCCCCTGATTTTGTGTAATAATCTTTAAAACTATGAAGTTTCCTACCCCACAATTATTGCCACATTTTATTTTTCTTCCTTTCCACCCTTACTCTTTCTGTTTTCTTCCTATTATGAGGGTGGGGGAAAACGTAAAATGCCTAGGCTGTTTAACTTAGGGCTTAGGCAGGAGAGAAAAGTAATTGAAATTACAAATAAATAAAATTAATCTGACTCAAAACTCTTAAGTGTCACTATGGAGACCAGAGCACAAACTGTCTCCATGGAGATTCACATGAATTTTTTCACTTTAAATTATCATCACTCATTACCAGATGTCAATTTGGCCAAGGAAGAGATGAGTAAAAACAAATAAATCAATATAAATATTACGACTAGCCTCACAACAGAGAATTTATTAAGGGCAAGTCTAGTTTGTTCTGGTTCTTAGTACTCCATTATTCCAATGAGTGGGAAGATATCCCAAGAGAATACTTCCCTTCAACTCAGAATTTCTGATGGAAACATCTGCTGATATAGCTCAATAAATGCTACAGGAATTCATAGGGAAAGACAATTTCCAGAAAAGGCGTCTCTCACCCAGAAGCATCAAGGTGTGATGCAAGTGATATGGCTCTCCATCTACCACTCCAGCTGCAAGGAAAAGACGGTTCCTTGGGCTATGTCTCATCTCAGTAATGGACCAGAGATACCTCTAACCACCATTCTAGGCACATCACTTTATCATGTCTATTATACACAGCTGTTTTTAATATGTGTGGTGAAGTCAGACAGACCTGTATTATATGCCAGATAAAGAGAAACACAGGAATCATCCAAATGTTTAAACTATACAAGCAGAGGTAAGTCAGAATTTCTCCCGGTTACAAACTTTATCTTGCAAATGTGTAGGTGCAGGTGACCGAATTCATCAAATACTCAGTTGAGAGGCCACCCTAGATAGTAGGTGTCCATCAATTAAATAAAAAATCACTGACAAAAGATTAAAATTCAATAAAAGTTTTAACATATAACAAAATAAGTCAATAGAAAGTAAATAATTTTGATCAGAATGCATAAAAACAACATGGTTCCTTATTCATTTGGAAGTTTATACAATTTGAACTCTGTGCAGTTTTTTTAGGATAGATCTTGGTGACTGGTTGAATATGGAAGGAAAATAAGGATGCCAGCTCAGAAAAATGCAAGTGTTTCTCACATTTTACAGTTGATTCTCACTATTCCCAGTAGTTATGTTTTATAATGTTGTCACAGCAAATACTGAACCGTTGCTCCTAGGGGAAATACAGGATGAGGCTCCAATGAGCCTTTGGTCACAAAAGTTTCATCAACCAATCAATCCATAACCTGGTTTTATGCATGTTTGTGTCTGAAGACACCTTATTTTATATATATTGTTGACTCACTAACATTGAGCTCACAGCCAACAGCACTATAACTCAAGCCTGAATGAACCTTAAGCAACAAATATTTTCTGTGTTAGGCACATCACAGCCTTCTTTCACTCAGGAACAGTAGACAGTACATCAGCCCTATGCTTGGGGGACATTTTAACAATGAAATGACCAACAAAAAGCACAAAAATGCAAAAATGAGGCATTAAATAGACTATGAAAAGAACGCTTGTTTACAGCACAAGAGCTAAAACAAGAAGGCAGAGTGTCACTTTGATCTCAACTGGGAACCTATGTGGGATGACTCAAAATTTTTGCCACTCTCCATGCCCACAAATGACCATGAAAGTGCTGCAAGTATTGATTGGAGATTATAAACAAATTTTAGCAAGTAGGTAAGTTCGCAAATACAGAATCCACAAATAATGACTTTCAGTGTTACACCACCTTTCCCCCCCACCAAGTTCCTCATCTCCTTCCCATTTATGTTCTTCTGTGGGTTTGCTATTGATGTCTTTGATGTTCACAGGCAACTTTTCGGGTTTTTTTTCTTTTAAAGATTGGCCCTGAGCTAACATCTGTTGCCAATTTCCCTCTTTTTTTTTTATCTTCTCCCCAAATCCCCCCAGTACATAGTTGTATATATTTTAGTTGTGGGTCGTTCTAGTTGTGGCATGTAGGACGCCGCCTCAGTGTGGCCTGACGAGTGGTGCCATGTCCGCATCCACGATCTGAACCACTCAAACCCTGGGCCGCTGAAGCAGAGCACGAGAACTTAGCCACTTGGCCACGGGGTCAGTCCTACAAGGCAACTTTTCAAAGCATCGTAGTGCAGAAGAGAGCAAAAGCACTGTCCACTTGAAAAAGATTTCTGTTTAACAATACTTTCTAACAGTGATTTATATTCTGACCTAAATCCTTATGGAGTAACAGAATCATGGAAGGGCTAAGTGTTTTGCTTGAGAACCGTGAGGTAAGCCCTGCATGAAGCTAAAAAACGATTTTCTGTTTCCCAATGTAGCTTTGGATTCCAGATCTATAGAATCTCTCACACTGAGTTCAAATAGGTAGAAAGCCAGTTTTAGTGATGAGAAGTGAAAGTAGGGGAGTAAGCTTGTGGGAAAGCGAGGAGTAGGCTGTAGACAGTGTGCAAGGCAGAAACTTCAGGACTCACATACCTTACACGAATACATGAGATTGAGGAGGACTTAGCTGTAGATCATTCATCTTCTCTCAAAAGCAAAAGTTTAATGGAGACAAGATTTGAGACTTCTTTCATTTCTCTCTTTCTGCCCTCTTCTTCAGAATATTCCAAATACCCCAAAAGTAACTACTGCCAACAGTGCAGCCAGGAAAATCAACCCAAAGGACAGAATCCTAACACCCCTAAAAATCCCCATTTTTCTCCCAGTTATATGCCATGGTTTTGCTATTGGTCACTGCAATATTTAATAAAACAAGATAATTGCTAAGTGAATTCCAAGCCAAGGTCAAAGGCAGAGGAAGTAAAGTAAATGTCTCCTGGGACCAGGCAAGAACCTACATGAGTGAAGTTCCAGAGAGAGAGAACTCTCATCTTGACTAGCCATCATCAGCTCCAGTACACTCATAGTTGCCAGAAAGAATAAAATCTGTTGCCAGGCCTTTCAACTTTTCAAGAGAAGACATAATCCTGGATTTTTATGTGAAATCTCCTGGCTTTAAATGTGGGCAATTAATTTAAAAGCAAAAATGTAAACGCAGAGCATGCCAAACAAACTATGTCTGTTGACCTTACCCAGTGGGAGACACCAGTTTGCAATCTCTGGCCAGAAGAGTCCTATTTAGGGATCTCTTTCAAATCACTCAATGTGCCTCACTGCCCCCAAGAAACGGCAGTCCTGGAGGCCATCTTCTGAACAAACATCTCCCTCCTGCTGTGCCCCTGGCCTCTTCATGGACCTTGCCTTTTATCAGAAAGTACTTGTCTTGGAAACGTGATTTCCAAGCCTCTGCAAACACCCTGCGGTCTATCCTGTGTGTACGTGGTCTATGACTTCTGGCTGCAGCAGTTCTCCGTGTGTGCTGGGGAGCCATTCTTGGAGGGCTCTCCTATGTGCTCCTCACTGCCCCGACTCTCACTCCCACCCTGTCCATCTCTCCTTTCAAGATTTGTTTTCCTTTGTTTTTTCTCTCTTCTCTCGTCTCCCAGTTCCCTCTCTTGTCTCATGTTTTTCTTTCTTATCTCTTCCTTCTCTCTCTGCTCTTCTCTTCCTCTTTTCTCCTTCTCTTACTTATTCTCTCCTCTCTCCCATTGTCCTCTATTACTCTTCTTTCCTTTCCACCCCCCCCGTGCCACCCGCCGCCGTCCCCCGCCCTGGTCCCTTCCCTCCCCCAGCACCCGGAAACTACGGAGAGCTCGCTCACCAGGAATACACCAACACCGGTTTCGAGTATTTCTTGCTACGGGAGCGGAGGGTCAGGGAGCCCTTGCGCTCCAGCAAGTCCGTGGGTCCGAGCTCAAACCAGTATTGCCCACTGCTGCACCAATCCTGGCAGGAGCTGTGAGAGCTCTGCATGGCCGCCCTCGAAGTACAGACCTCAGAGGAGTTTCCTCTGCCCCTGTCCTGCTCCCCGCGCCGCCTACATGGACCAAGATTCGGCGTCTCTCATCTCCTAAGAAACCTGGGGCGGGGTCAATGGAGAGGGCGGGGTCAATGGAGGGGCGGATCCCTCAAATCTAATAGCTCTGGTTTCCTAGACAGCGTAACTACTGATTAAAAGGAAACTACACTTCCCAGAATGCAACGAGGGGAGAGACCAGGCTGCATGGAGGGAGAAGGGGGAGAAAGAATTGCATCCTGGGATCTGTAGTTTCGCTCGCCACCAACTTTAGCCCCAGAGTGGCTGGGCGGAGTTAAGGGGGAGCCGCGGGACAGTTAAGGTCTAAGGGGACCTGAGCCCGAAGCTGGGTCTGTTCCAGCTATCCTTGCGAAAGTTCTTTTTACCGTCCGTCGTCTGTTGCCACCACATCTTTTACTTACAAGTTATGTAAATTTGACTATAGGGGAGCAAGAGAACACTCCTCAAACTCTAGCATGTGTCATTTCTATACAGCTTTTCTGAGAAAGAGGAGGAGCGGAATCTTTCAGCAAATCAGCTAAAAAGTCTGAGGATGAAAAAGCCTGGCTGGTTCCAATTTCAGCTGTTCTCTCAACCTTTCTCCGCACGACTTTCTTCCTCTGAAAAACGAAGGAGCGGGTGGGACCGTGGAGGGGGCAGGATGGACACAATAATCTTAGAGCCCTTCAGAGTATAACGCTGAAAGACCCAACCTTTAGGTACAGTTAGGGCTCCGGGGACTTCAGTTCCCCAAGACTTGCCAAGTTCTCCTCATTTTAACATTTGTTATTTTGTGACAACACAAATTCATCACATTATTGTGTTGTGGGTTATATGCGAGAAGGAAATTTCAAAAAGATTGTCTATGGCATTGCCTTCAAGAAATCATTGGACAGCTGTCTTGTAGAAGGAAGGTGCTTATATCATCTTTGACTTTCCAAGAGAAGAATATTTAACGCATCAGAGTTCTCCTTCCCAACCACACTTGAGCACCTTGAGAGCATTAATGGACTTAATCATGGCCATCCCTCTGACCTGGATAGTGCTTAGTACATGGCATCATTTCAGAGTGTGGAATGAACAAATGAATGAATATCATGTTTGATTACCTTAGATTTTACTGGTCTTCCATAAATTTCAGAAGTGTCTTACTTTAAAAAGACCGCATTTACACAAAAATTCAAATCAGTAACAAATTAAGAGAAATTTCACATTACAAATAGATTCTTTCCTTTGCAAAAGATTTATTGTAGCACTCCTGTAAATAGTAAGGTGCTCTTCTGGATCAGTTTTCACAAATTTGATTACACACAACTACCAAGTGCTTTTCTGTGGCCTGTGGTGCCCAGTGTGGGTGCCTGTGGTATGCTAAGGCCCCTATTTTACCGACAGCCACAGTTAAGCTAAGTGCTAGTACAGTGCTGACCACTACTTTAGCTCCTTCCTTCTTGAAGGAATGAAAAGAAAAATAGAAATTAACTTTAAAAGGTAAATAAGATCCACATTTAGTTCAATTCTGTCCAATCAAAACATAGCATATAGCTGTTGCTCCAAAAATATTACCATCGTTACTATCACTGTTTGTTCATGTGTTTATTTTACTTATGCTTAAAGTGTTGGCAACCTAATAAATGTGCAACCAGCATGTCAGGTCTGTGCGGCCGATTTGACTTAGAGATGGAAGCTGCCCAGATCCAGCCCTTTCTGCAGTGCACAGGTGCTGCAGAGATTGAAAAGCTTTTCAGCGCACCAAGGAGCAATTAAGAAAACAAACAAAACAAATGAAGCTTGTTATTTTAGAGTTCCTCAAGGCAAGCTGACAGCCTTTGAGTCTATGAATATGCTTTTTTGTTATACTCTCTTTCCCCTTTATATCAGCTTTATGAACTTTATTGTCTTCTGTGTCTACTAAATACTTCTCAACATCCTCATGTTGGGATGTAGGAGATTAACTCTCTGATACCCTCAAATTCAGATGCTTTCCATTCTCATTCTGTAGAATTTTTGATTTGTTGATTCCTTATCAATAAAATAGCAATAAAATGGTATTTATCGCAGAGGAGTTTTGTGAGAATTAAGTAAGATAATAAATACATTGAAAGCAGGTAGAACAGTGCCTAAGAGATGCTCAGCCCTCTCAGCAGCTAGTAGGCACTGTTATCATTATATCCTATTATTACTATTATTATTATATCCTAATTTTGTCCTTTTCATTTGGGAAAAGTACCCAAAAATGTGATTGTTGTTTGTGTGAAATTTCCTAAGTATACTCATTGTTTTTCAAGCTTTGCCTGTTTACAAAGTCTTTTTAGTGAATATCTTATCACATTTTAATACGAAATTTAGGAGTCTGAATCAGAAAAATGTTGGAAAGATATTTGAATATGTTACCAATGATAACGCTGGTTTTGTAGTCATATAGAATCTTTTCTCTTCAAAACTATTAATAGGGGCCGGCCCGGTGGCGCAGCGGTTAAGTGCGCACGTTCCACTTTGGATCCCGGGTGCAGATATGGCACCACTTGGCAAGCCATGCTGTGGTAGGCATCCCACATATAAAGGAGAGGAAAATGGGCACGGATGTTAGCTCAGGGCTAATTTTCCTCAAAAAGAATAATAAAATAAAATTTAAAAACCATTAATAAGCTTTATACTTTATAAATGTGAAATACTGATCCTCAACACATTTGATTTATTCCTGTTTTCCTCAAACTTCATCAAACCAATGAAGTGTAGGGCTTAAAGCAATGCCTTCTATTTATATTAGTCTCTTTTCACCGTAATAGTCTTGTAGTGGGAAATTTTCAGCTCAGGTAGCTCACACTGGATTTTTCTGTAGGATAAGTGCAGGCAGACCAGCTCAGGAAGCGGGAATCTCGTCATCTGAGCCTAGGCTAATGTATTTCTTGATTAGAATTATCAGATCCTTAAAGAGGTTGCGTAGAAGACCTGAGCAGGACTGCAAACCTAAAACAGATGTAAATGAGCCAGATGTAAATGTCCACGGAGGCAAATCTCTCGAACACCTCCTTTCCCTTCCTGTCCTAACAGTCGTCTGCTCAATTCCCAGAAAAGCCCCTGCTCAGAACCTTCCAAAGTCACCAGCAGCATATTCTACCCCCAGCATTAAAATTTCCTCTCTCTACCAAATATCATTCAATGAAGCTGAGAGACAAAATTTAAAATTACATAAGAAAATTAATTTGTATTATCTCTATGTTGAATCTAGTTTAAATATACTAAAAACTTGTATTTAACTTGTATAACACCCAAAAGTTAAAAACTAAGTATTTATGTCCTAATCAAGGGTTGCATAGTACTTTTTTAGTTCTCCAGGAATAAAAGCCTCTCGTTACTCACCATATATACATCTAGGGGTTCACTTTTGAATATTTTATATAAAAAAGTTGGAGTCCGCCTGCTATGTCAAAACGGAGGGGAATTGTCTGGTTACCCCTTCCTCTTCCAGGCTCTACTCCTTCTCTTCTTCTCTTCTTTCTCTCTTCCTCCTTCCTTCTCTCCGTTTTCTTGTCCTCCGCTTCCTCCTTTGAGAAGAGGTATGGATTTTAGAGTCAGAATCCATTGCTGAACACCCAAGAGAATCTGGTATAATTCAAAGTTATACGAAAAATATGAAAGAAAAATAATAAGACCTAGAAACCAGGGCCAAAATTTATGTGAATAAGCTCATGCTTAATGTCCCAGGTATTCTCAAGAGTCAACTCCGACGAAACCTTCAATCTTTTCTTTCCTTTAACTATTCATAACCACCAATGGTGGTTTTTAGAATATTTTAACCTTGAGTATGATGCCTTTGTGCTTCTAATTTGGACTGTGAACCCATTAGGCATCAACTTGCTCCCAATCCATTATTATTAACCAGTATTGATTAAGTGCTGTCATGAAATAGGCATTATTTCTGAACGCCTACTATCAGCATGGGGGATTAATTTCTTAAATTATTCAATGTATAGTATTCTATAATTCAGCATTTCCCTAATTTTGATATCTAATACAGCCAATAAGTGAAATTCTTTGGCAGAATTGTCCATAACTATTACAATAAAACTTTAATGTCCTGGATAAGTAATGACATGCTCTAGCATAAATGTAGATTAGGGATTTCTTTAATATCCTGCAAATTGGATGTCCTTAATTATTCAGACTGAATATCCATTTCCACAAATGATCTAAGTCCTTGGTTTCTTCCTTTTCTCCTCTGAGCTGCTTTGGTTTATTGGCGCTTTCATTGTTTAGTAGCAGCAAGAGCGAGACGATTTAGCTACCAGTTAACAGTTCTTATGAAAGGAGTTTGTGCTTGAAATTAAGCTCAGCATTGCTATGGCTTTCTTTGTTTCTCATGGTCTCTAATCTGGATAATGGAACCTTTTCTCCCAGAGAAGAAGCTCAGATGCTGGATTTGGTTTCCTTTCTGCTCCTGGCAGTAGTGGACATTTTCCCATATCCCCCACAAGACCCACACCCAGCTGCATGGTGAGCAGGCTGATAAGGAACTGACTGAAATGCTTCTCCTGGAGGGTCAGGTGTATGTAGATGGTTTCTGGTTGTTGAGTAAGCCAAACACACAGCTGAGGATGCCCCCAGTCACCAGTCAAGGATAGGGTGGGGAGCTTAGGCAAGAAGCTGGAAATCTTCCTGAACCTTGAGAGACTCCTTGAGCTTTGCATGATTTTGAGTTTCTGGTGTTCAGTTGGCATATGTCAGACTTGTGTTGTTGTTTCCTCTGTCACTAAATCTCTTTCTATAGCATCATGTTTAGGTTACTTTAAAGAAGGGAGGCTTGGGCAGTTCCAAGAGAAGGATCATTTTCTAAAGAGGCAGGAGGGGACTAAAAGCAAACATGATAACATTGAAAGTAATAACAATAAAGGAAACTGAGACTTAGAAGAAGGATTTTCAAGACCAAGAGCTCATTTAGTTTCTTATCAACCATTCTATGACTAATTAGCATATTCCTTACAATTTTGAGCATGGTTCAAGTTGGGGAAAAAAGAGTTGAAATGTTTCTTTTCATAGGAAGCTGGAGGTACCACTTAACAAATAGTGTTTGCCAGAAAAGGAGTGTTTT